GCCCAGGGAAGTGGTGGAGTCACCATCCCTGGAGGTGTTTAAAAGACGTGTAGATGAGGCGCTTAGGGACATGGTTTAGTGGGCATGGTGGGGTTGGGTTAATGGTTGGACCTGATGATCTTAGAGGTCTTTTCCAACCTTAATGATTCTATGATTCTATGATTCTATAATCTCATCTCAGCTCCCTTTCCCATGAAAGGCTGGACCCGATGATCTTTTGAAGTCCCTTCCAACCTGGGCTGTTCTGTGATTTTAACACAGCACATTACAGCAGATAAAACAGAGTTTGTCACAAAAAATGGTGACAAATGTGGATTTCCGTGTATTTTTTCACCAGAAAATGTCACAAACATTTGATGTCAACTTGACCAAGATATGTGAGAAGTATCCTCAGAAACCAACTAATTTAAACAACAAAAACATTTCCTTTTTAAATTGCTACTGAGTAGCAGAAATACATGTACTTAATTCTGAGGAAAACCACAGGTCCTGATAGCTTGAAATAGACCTTATTAAACGGTGAAACAGCAGTCAATGTGAGCATCTAGAGTGTTGGTGGCAACACCATACAGATGCTTGTGAAATGGAAGCAAAGAACTCCAAACACCGTGAAGACTGGGAAAATCCTACTAGTGACTCTGCGTGCATTTAAGATAGCATCTTGATTAAAACTGGCAAATTTAAAGAAAACACCACTTCTTAAGAGGAGCACTCGACTATGAATTCTATGATTTATTACAATACAATAGTACTTTATAAAATTTTATTTTATCTTTTTATAATCAAAATAAATTCATAAAAGAATACAATATGAGCACATCTATATGTAAAGAAAACAAATGCAAAATACTTAATTCACGAAGTTGATCAGAAACAGTTCAGCAGATCCAAGCACAATTCAAGAAATCTTCTGCACTTTTCATATGTGAAGTATCTTACTCAAATGGTGACCTTAATCTTTTGGTTTTCTCTAATGAAAATTATGGGAATCTGAAACAAGTTTTAGATTAAACGTTGGTATTTCAAAGCCTCTCACTGAAGATACCATCCTGAATTAAAACAAGGCATCACTTGTCACTGGGTGGAAAAGTCTTAATTTGGTACCAGACACAGTAAGTAAGTTTGTTGTCATTTTGCTTTAATGAAGGTTTAAACACCCTAAAGAATAAATCTCCTGTTAATATGTTAGAAGAAACAGTGATAAACCAAATTCTTCTGAAATCTGGTTATTACATTACATGGTACCTTGTTTCTCTCATCCGCTTTCTATTTTCTTGAGTCTGCAAGTTGTTAAAAAGTACTAGTGTGCTCTGTGCACTCCTGAGAAACAACATGGAGTTAAATACTCGAATATTTACTCTCAATACTGCACTGGTACTGACAGAGGAGAAAGAAGACAGAAGAAAAAGGCCTGCAATGAGAAGGCATCAGGCTAAGACCGATGAGATTTGAAGCCTGATTTTCACATGCATCAGCACCTGCAGCTCCCACTGGCTTCATTGGAGGCCTTGGATGTTCAACATCTTTAAAACAAAGACCGTGAAGCCGAGCTCCTAATCGTGCCCTGTGTTACCACCATCAGTAAACCACAATGTTTACGCACAACCTTCCCAGCTACAGAACAGAGTTAGTTCTGCTTTAATCCAGAAAAAAGAGATTACGTATCGGAAAAAAGCTTATATAAACAGCTCTATAAATGCATCTGTTTTGATTTGGAGGGGCAAGACTGGAAATGGTTTAAAGGCTGGCACCTCTCGCTTAGTAACACACTGGAATTGCTCTCCTTGAGCCATGACTGTCTTAGGGAAGCAAAAACCTAGCTCACCACTCCCAAAACCTACGGCTTTCCTGAAGAAAAATCTAGTAGACAGAAAAAGGATAACAGAACCTGCAGGAGAAACACCACCTGACAAGCGAGCGGCTGCCTGAGCAGAAGGACAGTGTGCCGCAGGCGGCTGCAGCCCGTGAGAATCGCCCGAGGTCAGCCCAGAGAAGACAACTGGCACTTCGAAAACCATCTCTCACAAGTACGCACCCTGACCCCTGTGAACTGATGGCACTGAAAGAACCGATTTTCCGAATTCACCCAGATGACTATCTGTGAGCATGTAATAGAAAAAAAAAAAAAAAAAAAATCACTTTTTCCCACCTTTTCAACCAGATGTTATGAAAACCACTGCATAAGCCCTAATGAGTCTTACCAGTTCTTTTTGGAATCAAATTATCTTAATTCACAGGAAAAATGCAGATGAGCTAAGCAGATTAAAAAATAAGAACGAGCAACATACTAGCTGCCTGTCCGAATAATTTTTGTAATTACTGTATTACTCTCTTGTAGCATGTAGCACGCAGTGTTTAAAGAACTGCTATTGCTATGTTCATGGAAATTTAACCTTTGCCAAATAAATTGCCAGCTAAAAACTTATGAAAACATTACACGAACTCCGCACGTTACCAACAGGATGACAAACTGTTGGTTGTACAGTATGTGACTTTTAATATTATAAGCACAGGACAGAATGCAATTTCACAAGTTATTAAAATGCAGGCAAGTGCAGTAGAAGATTAATTTTGCTTACTTTGGTTCGCCTATCTTGATACCCGGGTGTTGTGTATAGGCATGGGAGTGTGTGCTGGGAGCAGATTTAAATGCCATGGGACAGATAGGACACTTGTAAAAGACTTCACAGTGAGAACCTTGAATATGAGACTTGAGTGCCGCCACATCAGAGTATACAACATTGCAATGCACGCAGCTGCAAAAAGAGTGGAAGAGAATCAGTTCAGCCTAGCCCAAAGCAGTACCGAAAGAAATGGAATCAACACTGATTTTCAAGCAAGTGGAAGAGATAAACATATATATACGACCAGATAAAACTATGTAATTGTCAATTTAAACAACCCAGTAAGAATCAACATAAACAGAGATTTGCATATCAGAAAGTAAGAAAAAAGAAATTTCCTGAATTTAATTTGAAAATCTAAGAGGTATGAAGTCAGAACAAGTTTTTATGGCATTACAACAAAACAGAAGAGTCGACAGAGGAATATTCTATTGATTGTAAAAAGAATGCTTAAAACCTCTGCAAATTTGTAAAGAGATTTTACAAAATGCATTTTTATCACATGCAATGGATTGTACAAGGTACGCCACAGCAATTTAGAAACTACCACCAAAATGGAAAACTAGTAAGGAAAACATTTCCACCATTTCCCTTGTTTAGATTTAATGAAGACATACTAGCAATGATTTTCCGTACATGTAATCAAATCAGCACGTGGATTTAAAAACAAAAACTCAGGACAGCTAAACTGAATCTCTACAATCAGATCAATCTATCAGACTGGAATTCTGAAAATATTTTTCAAAAACATACTTCTGCTGTGTCGAAAATTTGTGACCTTTCCGCATCTATTCTAAAATGAAATGATTAAAAAATTGAATTAATATTAGTATATAAGAATTTCTATACACAATGGTCCCTTTTAGTGCCATACATCTCCAGCACTGAATGCTACCAAATAAGTCCAAGAACATACTGCAATAAGCAATTACAAAATAACCTGTCAAATGAACAAATTTCTTATTTACTAGTATTTTGCAGTAAGAGTTTTACCATTTAAACATAGAAGACCTCTACCCTTCCAAAATTTTAATTTTGGCATCTATCATGGTAGTATGATTGTTGTCATATAACAATCAAGTTTTTTTTCGATACTGTTTTAATGCTCTGATGATAGCAATACAGCAGGAAATACAGTTATACATTGCATTCAAGAATCCCATTTTCCTTTTAAAATGTATCACCTTTGAATTTTATGAAATGTCATCCTTTCTTTTCTGAGCACTTAATTTACATTCTTAATACTATTAATCAAGTTTATATCTATCTAGTTTCTGCTTACCAATACATTTTCTAAAGTAAATGGTCCTCGTCTTTTTTGGGTCTGTTAAGATCTTTTCTGCTTATACAAAGATGAACATTTCTTCATAGCGGTACAAAGCACAATCCTCTCATTAACAGATCTACTCCTAAGGTGTCACCTCAAGAGAGTTGGGTCGCATCTCTCGCCTCCCCATCCCAACCTGTCTGGACTTTATTCTCTAGTGATGCAACACAATAAATGATCCTCAGCATCCACCATTGTATATTAAAACAGTTCTTAGAGAACAAGCATTCCTTTCTTGGACTGCTATAACAGCTTTCTTGTTTTCAACTTGGAAGGATGCAACTAAACTTGAGGTTAAAATTTTCAGCTGATTTAGTTCAGACAACTAGCCTAAATCACTGAAATCAAACCGAACAGAGGTCCTTTGGAAAGGCAAGACGGGTTATGCTGTTCCTCAAGCGAATACACCATGGTGATAAGGAGATGCTGAGGAATCTAAGAAGGAAGACATTAATTTTCCCAGATATTGCTTCTCTTTGCCTAGGTATTTTTGGTTTAGTCTCACCATATACAGAAATTCTGACTTAGTGTGACATGAGATGTTTATGATACATCTTGAAAAGTTTAGTAACTTTAGTTTAGATTCACGGTGAAGGATTTATGAGTCTTCTGGTGTTACAGGTGCAAGCCAGGAGCCCCTGAAGACGATTCTGTGTACAAACCCAAGAGACACAGATTAGAGGGAAGGGAAGTAGAGTGAAGGTAGCAGATGTAAGATAAGGACAAGACAGACTACCGCTTGGGAAAAAAGAATAAAAGAGAAGAACCCAAAGAAACGCAAAGAGCTGCGAGTCATGTCAGGCCATGGATTCAATCTGAAAACAGACTGCCACAGCAGCTGGTTTGATGCAGTAAAAATGCTTTCTTCCCTTAGTGGAAGATTTCACAGCCATCCTAGCAAATGAACTTGTGGCACCTTAAGGGGGAAGAAGCTGCCTGCTGGTAAGATTTTAAATCACCCTTCTCCAGTCAGACAGGGTGAAGTGGAAATGTTTTAGGAGCGCTGAGCAAAGCTCGGCTGTACGGGTTGCTCTTCTGATCTCTTGCTGTGCTGCCTGCCATTCAGTGCGAGTAAAATTCTAAGGTAAAACAATTTTTCAAGCCTTTCAAAACTTAACATTTCCATGAAATGCCCCGATCCCCATTTTCTCAGTGAGTTGCCATTACAGGGAAACATAAGAATAAAAGGGATACTGAAGAGGAACAAAGAAGAACCAAAAGACCAGGCTGTTTGAATGAGAAAGGTAATTTTCAAGTGATGTAAAGCTGAAGAATCTTGACCTCCCACAGAAAAGAGAGCAACCAGACAGGCGCAGTATGCCCATCAGCATCTTGATAATAAATTCTGGCAGTAAATACTGAAAATGACTGTTCTATCAGAGAGAACAATCTAAAATTAAATGTTTTGAAAAAACTCAAAAAGTTTCTTTAAGAACCTGAAATTAAGAAAATACGTCTGAATTCTCTAGACCTTATAAACTGTGAAGTCCTGAATCTGGTATTTTATGGCTGGATGAGATTAGCTAATATTCTGATTTAATAACATACAAAAGCAGATGCTCAAAACAAAGCAGAATCCTAATGTGGTATTTATTCCAAAATTTGTAGTACTAATAGCATTGTTGCCATGACAACCTTAAACCCATGAAGCTGTATTCTACAAACAATGCTTATGAAAATGGAAAATTACTTTTAAAAGCATAAATTATACATAAATTGACAACAAAAGTAATCATTATACTGACCGAAAACCAACTCTTCGGGTATAATGCAGGCAGTTCTTAGTGACATGAGTCTGGAAGTGGACAGATCTGCAGATTGCTCCACATTCAGGACACGTGTATGGAGATTTATGCTGATGAATTCTCTGGTGTGATGCAAAACTGCACTGGTTAGGAAGCAGCATCTGGCAGATATTGCATGTCTTCTAAACGATAAACCAAAACAGATGAAACAAAAGGTTTGGTTCAGCTATACACAACGTCTTGTGTCAAACACTGTAATATATCAAATAAAAGGTTAAATGTTATGACTGATGTGAACCAAAAGAAGTAGGCAAGTACTAAATGCAGGCCCTACTGACAAATCTTGTAGGACAGAGCTGGCAGATACTGGCAACCAGACATACTGGCATTCTGGCCATTCTGACACAACTAAGCTCTTTACATACCACTGACCATGGGAGATGCATGTTGGTTTATATAAATTTTACTTAGGTGCCTCACAAGGTGCAATTTTACTAAGGTGCCTTACCTTAATAGCGCAAGGGGCTTAAGTACAACTTGAGAATCGAACCTTACGGTTTTAACTCAGTGCACCACATAAAGTAAAAACCACCAAAGCCACCAAATATACTATCTTCACTTTCTTTGATCCTTGCTCCTGACGAATTCTTATAGTAATATCCGTAATACCAATAAAACAGAATATTATCAGGCAGAAAGTGCACAGATAATTTCAAAATATCTTTCTCAGTCTAGAATACATCATCTGCATTATACCACCATATTATGCATCTGAGTAAAAACTAGAGATATATAAAATATTTACAAAACTTTTCTTTGCAGGGCAATCTTTCTACATGCAGGAGTAACTTAATAAACGAATTCTTTTCTTGTATTTTGTTACAAAAAAGTAATTTTAAAAAATCTTCAACTACATGTTGACCATATGCCAAATCAGCAACACTGAAATTCTTTGGGTGCTTTGTGCCATTTTTGGGATGAAATGCAAATGGTGCAACCCAGCTGTAAACAGGCTTCACTTTTGCTCACAGTTGCTTTCTATCACTGGAGGGCACAAAGAGCCAAACCTGTAAAAGCATTCCAGAAAATGTTTCATTTACAAGAATACATCTCTAAAATCTCTAAGCAGATAGCTGACATCCTGTATAGAGCTACGCTTCTGTTTAACTTTGATCATGGAAGCTGCTTCACTGACTTCAACAGAAACACTCAAGGTCTCAAAGTCAAGCACAAATACAAGTCTTTGCAGAACAGGACTTTAACTCAACTTCATTTCGTAAGACTTTGCTTTGTAAGGTTTTTCAAATTATTATTATTTCTTATGATTTGGGACTTATGAATCTCACCAGTGACTTATGAAGATTTAAAAACAAAACCAAGACTCCTTCATGACATGGGTATTTTTTTAACATGAGATTTGCGTATTTTTAGAAATGTTATCTGTAAGAGTCTTGCAGATGTAGCGATTCTTACATTTTGCAAGAATACAGAACAAAACAAGATCTCCAGAGCTGCATTATAAATTATTTACTAACCGATGTATGAAGAAATCCTGAAATAAATAATTAAGAAATAATAGTTTCTTAGTAAAAGACAGGTGCTTCACAAAAAGTCACCCCCTTTTTCCAATTTAGGCAACTCTCAACTTTAAATCTCTTTTAAAAAACAGTAATACCCAGATCATATAATAGCAGAATCAAAGCCACCATTGTAGAAGAAATAGTACAGTGTTACAAATAGCTTTCACAGGAGTCTGACTTACTAGTATTGGCAACTATGCCAGTAAAACAAATAACCTGTTCCCACTTAATCAACAGGAGACAGTCACTAACTCCAAAGACGGAAGGAAAAAGCCTTTATAATCACTGCAAAAAAGTTTTTTTTTTTTTGCAAATAGAACACTGTTTAATATCAAGGTCTAAAGTAACTTAACTGCCTTAGCATTTTTACAGTATTATTGATATTCTAAGAACAAATATATTTTTGTATTACAATCTGTACACTCCATTTTTATTCTTTTTCCAAAATAGCTTAATCTAAATGCTTTTTTTGAGGTTGCATGCAAATACTTTGACTCTTTTTTTAAAAACAGCAATTTTAAGTAGAAATGTTAACATGAAACATCTTGTGGTCACACACACAGAAGCAAGAAGCGTATTTTCATATGGTTCACTTTTAATGTTTACTTTGTGAACATGGTGGCCTGATATGTTTGAACACAGTCTCCATCCAAACATAGTTCTCAAATGTCCTGACGACAGCAAGATGGCGAAATGCAAAACATTAAAATAGAGGAAGTTAAGCAAAGAAAATCTACCATTACTCAAATTCAGGTTCAATATTAGCACTAATGCCAGCCTAAAAGATTAGTAGATAGCATGGAAACATTTACTACCCTTTCGGAAGGCTTTGCCTGAGGTTATCTATCTGTGGGGATTTGGAACTATCAGCCTGATTAGAGCCTTTGTAACACAGTAAGTCTGAAATTGTGTTCAGACACATATAAATATTCACTTTGAAATGCCAAATATTCGTCCTCAATTGACCAAACAGCTATGGCTGGAACCACCGACTCATGCCTCCGACACTGAACAGAACTCGTTTGGGATGCTAACTTTGTCTTCAGCTCAGGCTTAAAGGCAAAATCCTGACTAACCACAACTCTACTTAAAATGTGCTTGCCACATTTACTTGGCTTCAGTACCATTCCTAAAATCTACCTTTTGCCGCTCATGTACTAATAAGCAGCAACATAATACTGGAGAATCTGGAGTATTATCTGATTACGTAAGAAAACAGCAAAACAGAACTTCTTATTCCAATAATAGAAACATACGGGGTTTTCATAGTCCTTCCAAAGCCTTTCGTCTGCAGCACTACAAAAGGAGACCGGGATGCTATGCCACAGAAGAGCCATACATTTCAACCCCAACTAAGCGTATCTCTCTGATTTTGCAACAAGCAGCCTGCAAGATTCATCTGTAATGGTAGTAAGTCAGACTGACACAAAATGCCAATAATGCTATTTGTTAAGGCCACTGGTTTGCTATTTTGATGAGTACAGTAAAATGCTTAATTGTAACTGATTACAGTAGAACAAGAAGAATCTACTGTGAAATTCTGAAATTCAGCATGTTTGCTTACCATTTTATTTTGGGCTTAAGATGGCATTAACTTCCAGTTCTCTCATTCCAACCCATACCAAAATAAAACACAGTTTGTGAAAATCATCACCTGCCTGCATTTAAAGTCAAAGTTTCAGAAAAAAAAGGGTTAGAAGAAAAAATGGTGGAGGTGGAAAATAAAGATACACAAGAATTATGAGTATGAAGGGAAATGAGCTATGTACTTTCCATGGGAGCTATACACTTATATCTGTAAAGATGAACATTAACATTAATTAGCCCAGGTTTGCTACTTTTTTTTCCCCCAGTGAGTAGATGAGGGTTTCACTCAGCCAGGAAACCTGTCAGTGAGTGGTCCCATTCCCTTTAACAGGAATATTAATGGAAGTAAAATATTACAGAAAGGTAACACTTGATAGGGAACATCTTTTAATTGCTAGTGCTGTTTTACTATTGTTTATTTTAAAAGAAACATTCTATCTTCATAACAGGAGTTTAGGAAGACCAAGAAGTAACAGCTACTTATTGCTTAGACTCATTGAAAACATAAAACAGTATACAGCCTCCATTTCAAGAGCAATTAGGTGGGCACTAGAAAGAATGGCAAGCTGCAAATAACTTTTTTCCTATTATTTGTTTGCAAAATCCAAATGTTTATTTTTATTCTTTCTTCCTTCCTTCCAAAGTTAAAATATCAATTTCATCTAACTTTCCTGTCTCCCTCCCCCTAAAATAATGGTAGTTTTACAACAAAAAGCCAGTGCCAAGCACTAAGAAGGAAAATAGACGTCACAGTGTTTCTCATCCAAGCTTTTCAAGGGGTAACATATAATGAAAAAGTACTAAAATATTTATTAATAAATGCCTATACAGAGTCTTTCTTCAGCAAACACTAGCCTTGCAGCAATGCTTGGGACAAAAGATGGACAAAAAGAGAACAAAAAGCAAGCTAAACTAAAGCAACTGCTCAGTTAAGCAGTTTCCATGCTGGGCATTTCCGTATAGCTACAACACTACAGTATGTAATAAAATGCAATGTGAAAAAAACCAGCACAGCATTGAAAACTGCTGCTTGATATATGGAAAGGACTAAGAAAAATATTTAATTAATTTTTAAGAGGATATTTAACAAAGAACATTTAAAACTACGTTTATTGAGAGTGTTTTTTTAAAATGGAACAACATGAATATGTTCTTTTCTTCCAGTGCTTTGCAGCAACAAGGCTGGGTTTTGAGTTTTTAAAACCTGGAAATCCATGGCCTAGCAAGCAGGTATTAAGGCCTTGTTCATACATCAGCTCTTAAAAGAGCAAGTTTCCAACAAGAAACACAAACACATTGACAGGTAGTAGGCAATGCTGACTGTTTTCTGTACCTTCATGAGCTTTCCTCCCTGAACAGCAGTATCTGCGTACCCATACTTATCTTTGCACCTAACTGCAGTTATATTTTGACATTCTATGAAGATCTCAGTTGCTCTCCCGTAGTAAATCACCAGGGTAAACAGTATCTAACAGGACATGCATAGAGAGCAAACTTGGCAGCAACAAGGCAGAAGAACCAGAGGTGGCAGGAAAGGGCAAAAGGTGTTTCTACAAATCTGTTTAATTTATCTGTCCATACAAACAAAGGCCCCCACAAAAAGCAAGTACATCACTTTCTTATCTTTGTTCTTGTCCATTTTTTTCACTTTATCCTTACCTCATCCTCCCAACCTATTCTCAGTATATTTGTCTGTCCCTCATCCACTTGCTTTATCTTGGTGCCTTATTAATTGCTTGATTTTATAGTATCAAGAACAACAGGGTTTTCACAAGGACTACTGGATCCTATCATACCAAATGATAACTAATGGACCTATTATGGAAAAAAAGATAAATCTAACACCAATAAGCACCAGCAAAGGAGTCAGCTAAAAAACAGTGAGTATTAAGTAACTCAAGAGCTGGTGCAGAATATACTCATGGTCAGCTGTTAGATACTGTTCGAAACTGCAGCAAGATCTAAGGATGGAATACATTGTGCTAACTTCTCTCTGACAAAAAGCTTAAATAAACTTGCTTTAGGCAGACACATCTGTAGTACCTTACAAACAGAAATTCACTCACATGGCATTTCACTGTGAATCCAGGCAATTTCAGCCTAAGTCCGCTAGCCAGTTAGTAAAGCAGGAGCTGAGGCAGAGCCACATAATCCATGTACTCAAGATCATTTCCACATTCATATCTCTTTACATTACTGTCTGCAGTGGTGGGTGCAGTGTAACTGCTTCATGGCCACAGAATAGGTCTTAAGTTTAGTGAATAGATTCTGACAGGAACCTGTCTGCGCTTCTATGACTAGTAGATGTTTTCCTAACTGCAGGACTTAAAAACCTTTATCCTGCACGCTGCTGTGCGATTCCCAGGAAT